TATATAGATGCATATATATATAATTTAAAATCAATAAATTTCTTATGTACAATACACAAAAATGGTTCATTTCGCGCTAAAATAGTCTTTCTGTCACGCTCAAAATACTTTCAGCTTAGATAATAATTATTTGCAGTTTTTATATACAATACATAAACATTGGCAATTTTTTTTTTTTAATTTTTGTATTTTTTTTGGTAAATTTTATGATTTTGCCGAGATACCTTAATGTCATAAAATAATCTGCGCGTTGTATAGTTTCGTATTTAAATAGTTATCAATAGGTGTTCGTGTGAGATTTTCATGGGTTTTTTCGTTAAGATAAACTTAATACTATATTTCGATTTATGTTACTTTTAATTTTCTTAATAAGCATTTCAAAGCGATTGTCGCGTAATTTTGTTTTTCCGTTTCATAACTTGCCTACGCGTTTACGTTAACTGTCTTTACTTCCACTTGTTTCGGGTTGATCATTTGAGCTGAGCTTATGACTGACTTCCTATTAATGTGTTGTATATTCCAAAAAAATATACCATATACCCATGTGCTCATTGCACGCCCCCATCTATGAGTACTTTGTCCAGCCAATGCGATAATGCAAATACATATCAGAACTATACGCAATTTAAAATACGACGAGCTTTCAACACATTACTTACATACATATGTAAATATCTAGGGATTATTTCAATTAGCTTAGACTATAAAACGCTAGTTATTTGAGGCTCGTTTTCTTAAATCTCCGCAAGCCGTCTGCTTTCCTTTGTGATTTGATACGCTACGTGACTATCGTATGTACTGAATATCGGTTAGGTGTTTTGTTCTTTATTGCTTTCTAATCTTTTATTGTTTGCATATAAAAACTATTTGTCTTTCGATTTTATTTCCTATATACACTACTTCTAAGAATGGCGCAGGCAATGGTGTGTGTGTGTGGATGTGCGGATGTGGGGATAACTGCAGAGTGGAGAACTGTTTAAACTGCTTTTTATTAAGTTTCATTTGATTCTGTTGCGACTACTAATTACTACAATTCGATGCATTTTACTTTTGATTTATTGACAGTTATCGTTGGTTATAATTGTTACTAATATCATTTATGTATATTACTTGCAACTTTCCCGGGCTAACCACTTGGCTACACTCGTCCCATCTCAACTACAAATCTTATAAACATTTTTGATCTTCTTGGAAAGTATTCATAAGAGTATTCATTTGTTTTGTTTTAAAATGTTCTTGGTTAAATTTTCGTTTATGTTTGTTTATACATTCCTTACTAAAATAGCACCTTATATTGTTTTTCTGTGTGTCGAAGTTTATATAGACAATGGTCGTTGTTCGAAACGTAGAGAACATGATTTAAGAAAATAAAGATATGTCATATGTAAAGATAGCATAATACTGTGTAGGAATTCATATAAAACAGAGATAAATACAATAACAGTTTGAAACTGTGTAGCGATCGAGTTTCGTTGTATCGATGTACAGATGTGTGTAGTATATATAGATAAATATCTAGATTAGTTCTTCATCGGTCTATTGCAATAATTATTAATTGTTTGCTTTACAAAAATAGTTTAGCCTAGGCCGGTTTCATTATGGTTTTCTTTGTTTTTCAAAGCTAATGAAATTCTAATTGTGGAACGTTAGTATAAATTTCAAATTAGTTAGGATATTGTTGATTCATACATACAACACGATCGATCGTATTACGACAACTGAACACAATTCACATAGGTATAGATAAAAGTACAGAGTTACAAGATACAGTTACGTAGATCACGAATACAATACAACAGTAAATACAGTTAAATATTATGTAGTAAAAGGTACAATGTGCGGTGAGTGCATCTGGCTTCGGCGGTGGCATTGGCGTTGGTGTTGGTGTTAGGTGTTGGGTGTTAGGTGTACACCTTAAGTGTTGGGTGTGTCAGGTGAATATTCAATGGTATCGATTTGTGTGTTAGTGAAGCCATAAGCACGAGCGTTGTTAGCATTTTTATAGCCTTGCAGTGTGGATCATAGTTCTATATAAATATATACACATAACGTAAAGAAGAAGATGCCTATCTATTACCAATCTATTACCAATCACTGGAGCTTTTTGTTTTTAATTCCAGATTATGTCCACATGTGGAGGAGAATGGGTAAAATTTTTATTTATCTATAGATATAATTGAGTAAAAATCGTATTTAGCTTCATAACTCTCCAATAACAGATGCATCTTACACATGCGCTATATAATAGATCCTTTTAGCTGCAAGAATATTTAAAATTCGGCATTCCGAATATGACTATTTCTTTTGCTTGGTTAATGCGGGATTCGTGGTCGGTTTGGTATGTGTGGAGGGGCGTGGCGTTCACATATTCAGCAGAAACGGCAAGTTTAAGGCAGTGTAAAGTACATATATGTATGTATTTATGTATATATATACAAATCTAAATTTATATATATATGCATGTAAACCTATGCGACAATTTGTATAACTAACTTTAGGACTTATCACTTTCACTTGGTTGCTTTGAAATGGATACGAGCAACTGTGCTGCTCTTAGCTAACCAGGTTTTCAATGTCAGAGACAACCACCTCCAGATCCGATGGTAACTCGTTGTCCAGCGTTGTTGGTGGAGGTACAACAGCAGCAACAGCAGCGGTAGCGGCAGCTGTTGTCGCATTGGAACGCGCTCGGAAATTGTTTAGACTGCGTCGCATCGGCTGCGTCGCTTGCCGTTGACTGGGCATGGCGCTTGTGGAGGCGGATTGTTGTAGAGGGAGGGAGGAAGGCAGCGGTAGCGCCGGTGCCATTCCGCTAGAC